TCAATCACCTCATATAAGTTATAGTTTTATGTAAAAATTTGAGAAACTGAAAAACCATAGAATCTGTATTATTTCATATAGCTGTGAAAGCTGCACCATAAATAAGGAAGAATGAAGTATTGTACTCAAATTATAATATTGGCAATGAATATTGCAAGTACCATGGATTGCCAAAGAAACAAACAGATCTGTCTTGGAAGAAGTACAGCCAGAGTGTCCTGAGAAGCAAAGATGACAAGACTTCGTCTCACATATTTTGGACATGTTGTCAACAAGGACAAATCCAAGAAGAAGGACATTATGCTTGGTAAAATGGACAGTCAGAAAAAAAGGACCCTCAACAAGGTGGATTGACACAATGGCAATACGAGTAGATGCGAGTATAGCAACAATTGTGAGGTTGGAGCAGGGCAGGGCAGTATTTGTTCTCTTGTTCATAGGGTCCCTATGAGTTGGAATTCACACATATTATTAACACATAGCACATAACAATATCAAATAGATAATTTTAAGACTCCCCTATGATTAAACATTTGACTTCTAACTGAAAAACTGACAGTTTCAGGCTCCCCAGAAGTACCTCAAAAGAAAGCCTGGAGTTGTGCTTCTGAAGTCACAACCTGGAGAATACTGTAGAGCAGCTCCACTCGGCACACACAGGGTAGCCACAAGTTGAAACTGATGTGAAGATAGCTCGTTTTATTGTGTGTTTGTTTTGTTTTGTTTTGTTTTTATTTGGTAGATAATTTCTAGCACTTGTCAAAAATGTCATTCACTGACATTAGGGACTGTAGAAGGCAGAGGTCACTGTTTGGTTGCCAATTTGGCAAAGACTTCTAAAACTAATTAAGCTTCCCTGAGGAACTAGCGTACGCGTATTTTACCCACATGAATAAAATTGCATCTCTATGGTGTGATAACTGAAGGGGCTGAGGAAGAAGGACTGTGAGGATTTTTGAGCAGAAAGTCACCTAGACACAACCGGAGGTTAGATATGGGATTCTTGTGAAATGGTAGAAAAATGACACCTGAATCACAAGGATCAAAATTTATGGCTCTGGACATATGAGAGCCTGAATCCTCTGAAAAGAGTTCAGAATAATTGGCTTTAGGAGATTTCTCATCCAGAGGACCTTTAATCAACTGCTGGTGTCTTGGTAACTGTATTTGCTTTTCTAGCTTAAAAAAATATATAATAAAAGGGTAGTATATTCTCAGAGCCCTTATGGACACTATTAAACCAAGTTCCATGCAAAAACCAAGGTATCCATAAGTCCCCACAGAAATGAAAATGAGGTAGTGCTGCTGAAACTCCCCAAACCTAAATTACTTTAAATCACAAATGCCGGTTTCATATACCCAAATCCGCTGCCTTCAAGTTGTGATTCTGAATCATATCAACACCAGGGGAGAAAGTAGAACTGCTCCATAGCATTTCGGAGGCTATAATTCTTTGTGGAAGCAGACAGCTTCATCTTTTGTTGTTTTTGTGCTCCTGGTGGCTTCAAACCATTGACATTTCAATTAGTAGCCCAACATTTCAACCCACTGGACCACCAGACTCCAATTTATTATTATCTGAAGCTTAGACAGGGTGAAAAATCCTGGACACACAGAATAGAGTAGACATATTGGAGAACCATAGTTTTACTCTTTTTTATTTACTTCAGGTTTTTCTTTTCTGGAAACACTTTCATTTTCATCTAAGTAAATTAACATGCCCTTGACTCTGTTTGTACATACTCTGAACTGAAGATAATCACAATAGAGTTATATCAAGAATTGATAAGGTTGCTAGGAACCCACCAATGACCAATCAGTAATTTTCAACCCTCTCTACTGGTTTAAATGTGACCTCTTATAAAAGCATCTTTTTCTCCTGACCAGTTTGTATGTAAATACAACTTAAGACTTATTTGTCAGTATTCTTTGATGTTGATCATATGTTCCACATGTGAGCTTGATTTAAAAAAAAAAAAAAAAGGGAATTCAAGTCTAGCATGTTTTTTGAATATTACTGCATAGTCACGTCTTCAAAAGTAAGTCTTTTTCTATAATTCAATGTTTTTATATCTTCATCTTCTCTTTGCTTTTATTTCTTATTTTACCTTTTCATCTTCTTCTTTTCCTTTTTTCCTCCTTTTTCTTCTCCTCTCCATTGCTTTTCCTCTTTCTTTCACCCATTCCTTTCCTCTTTTTCCCCCTATACAAACATTTTTTGATGCCTAATATTAAAGACATTATAGATGTAAAAATGAGTCAATCATAAAACCAATAAGGCACAGCATATTCCACAAAGCAATAATTTGGATAGGGAATGGAGCTGGCAGATTTCAGAACGACTCCACACTGAATCATGAGTCAAATTGAGAAAGATTACATCATCTATGCTTGGGAATAGGGCTTCAGAAAATTAATGAATCAAATGAACAACCAAGAAACAAGCCATAAAAAAAAGCAGTCGTTACATTTTTATATTAAGGATTCTTTTTGTACTTGACTGTGAACACATATTGTAGAAATGTGGCAACCTTTCTTTTGATAGTTACTATTTCCCTCATCTGCTTCACTTTTTTTTAGCTAACCTTTTCAGAATCACTGCCTTTTAGAAATGCCAGAAACCTTTTTTAAGTTTTCTTTGCTGAAACTCCCTTGTTATTGTTGTTGTTAAGTGCCTTCAAGTCAGTTGCAAATGTGTATAGGGTTTCCAAGGAGCAGCTGGTGAGCTTGAACTGGCAACTTTATGGTCCAAACTGACTTTGTAGTCCAACACATTAACCCTTGAGAACAGTACAATCATATAACAAAAATAACTCTAATAAATTTAGGATGATATCTTGGTAGGGTGCAGGGTCAGAGAAAAAGAGGAAGACCCCCAATGAGATGGATTGGCCAAGTGGCAGCATCAATGGGCTCAAGCATGGCAACAATAGTGAGGTTGGCCCAGGGTCAGACAGTGTTTCATTTTGCTGTGCATAAGGTCACTATGAGCCGCCACCGACTCGATGGCACCTAACACCAACAACAATAATTGTAAGGATATTAATGTATTTAGTCCTCCTTTTAAAGACAAATAAATTGAAGGAAAAAATGAATTGATGTTATACTTAGGGTGTCACACTATAGGATCAGTGCTGGACTGAGAATCACAAGGTCAGCACTTCAAACCAATCAGCTACTCTGTGGAAACCTTATACAGGTCTGCTATGAGTCAGAGTTGACAGGAAGGAATTTAGCAGCTACAGCAAGAGTAAATCTCAGACTCCTGACTATGTCTTTGGATTTTGAGTCCAGTTCCCTTATTTGGCTTTCCAATGTATTTCTACATTTCTGTTTTCTATTTTATTTTCCCCTGTTTACTTTTCCTTTTGCCTCTTTTTCTCTTTCTCTTTGCAACTGTGTTGAGTGCTTACTTTGTGTCCAGAAATAGAATAGATCAGTGAATCTAAATTGTTAATATTTTTTTTAACAATTAATCAAGCATCCTTCCCACATATACATAAGAAACAATGGTGACAATTTCCCCTTAACAATGTAATTGCAAAGTGGATGAAATATGTTGCTGTTGTTAAGTGCTGTCCAATCATTCCAACTCAAACCAACCCTGTATAGAGTTTCCAAAAACATTTGGTGGATTTGAAACACTGGCCTCATGGTTGGTTGTTGTGTGCTTATGGTACACACCAGGACTCCTAGTGAAATATGATATACCATTAATTTAAATCAAATTTCTTCTGCTTCCTAGAATTGCTTTAGAAATCATTCCATGGTCTAGCTTTATTTTGTTGTTTGTGATAAATGGACAGGCTGTTTGTTTGTTTCATTGTGGTAAATATATAGGTTAACAGAAGATTTGACAGTTCACCAATCTTCACAAGCACCCTGGGGTCACATTTATTATGTTGTTCAACCATTCATCATGTTGTTCAACCATCACAGTTAACCATATCCAAATTTTTCCATCATCCTCAACAGAAGTTTAGTGACTAATCAATGTCTTTGTTTCTCCCTTCCTTCTAATAACTCCTGATAATCACAAATAAACATTGATCTTGATACATTTGCCTAATCTAGATATTTCATATTGGTGACCTCGTAGAGTGTCCTTTTATAACTGATATATCACTCAACATAATGTTTTCAATGTTCATCCACAATGTAGCAAATCTCAGAACCTCATTTCTCAGTATGGCTGTTCCATTATATATATATATAAGACTGACTTTTTAAATCTCAAATATTTTGCTATTAAAAATATTTTCTTTAAGTATTATCAATATATAAAAATGAACTAAAATGGAAACCATAATAAACCAGCAAGAATTGTAAAGCATGATAGTCCTATTTTTTTCTAAAGAACACATAGCTTTAGACACAGATAGAGAGGGTGACCCAATGGGACAAATGATGTTTAGTCCAGTCTTTGAAGATGGGGAGAATGCAACAGCACCATCTTTCACTTTGAAAGATTTGAAAAATCTCACAGGCTGATAAAGTAGGACAAATGATTGCTCATATAGCAAATGACTTGAAAGATTGTCTACATATTTTTGACTCCTATATATGATTTAAATTTGTAGAAAATGCTTGTCTTTTTCCCTAAAAATTATGCCTGGTAAATATGAAGATAATAAATACATCTTTGGGTATCTGTGAAAGTTCTACATAACTGGTCATATCACGGATTGGATTTTGAGACTTGATACACAGCATATTTCTTTTCCAATTTTTTAAAAGTTACCCATTTTTATTGTATAAGATTATTCACAAATCAGGAAATTATAAAAAACAAAGTAAATACCACCTATAGTGTCAACTATTGAATAAAAAAAGAAAAGCTGTTGATATGGCTTTGCACTTGTCTTTGCTCTCTGTAAAACTGGGAGATATCATGTGCCTCATGTGAAACTTCATTCCTTCAGTTAAAGAGTCAGTACTGAGGATGTGTGTGACTTACTTTCAGGAACAGCACGTGCCACCTGAGCTGAAGTGAGGAGAAGATGAATAATGTGACAGAATTCATCCTCCTGGGCCTGACCCAGAATAGGAAACTACAAAAGGTTTCATTTGTTGTGATTTTAATTCTCTATTTGTTCACGGTGGCAGGGAACCTGCTTATCATAATAACAATTAGAACCAATAGGGCTTTAGGATCTCCCATGTACTTCTTCCTGTCTTACTTGTCTCTTATAGATGGCTGCTTTTCTTCATCCATGACCCCCAAAATGCTAGCTAACATTCTTGCTGTGAGAAAAACCATCTCTTTCAGGGGTTGTATGACTCAGGTCTTTGCCGAACACCTTTTTGGTGCTACTGAGATCATCTTACTGACTGTCATGGCCTATGACCGCTATGTGGCCATCTGTAAACCCCTGCACTACACGACCATCATGAACCACAGGCTGTGCATTCTCCTGGTGGGAGTGGCCTGGACTGGAGGAGTTCTCCATGCAACCATTCAGATCCTCTTTACAGTCTGGCTGCCCTTCTGTGGTCCCAATGTCATAGACCACTTCATGTGTGACTTGAACCCTTTGTTGAAACTTGCTTGCATGGACACTCAAACCATTGGTCTCTTTGTTGCTGCCAACAGTGGATTCATATGTTTGTTAAACTTCCTCATCTTGATGGTCTCCTATGTGGTCATTCTGCGCTCCTTACGGGCCCACAGCTTGGAGGGGAGGCGTAAAGCCCTCTCTACCTGTGTAGCTCATATCACAGTGGTTGTCTTATTCTTTGTCCCCTGCATATTTGTGTATCTGCGTCCAGTGACTACCTTCTCCATTGATAAAGCTGTAGCTGTCTTTTATGTTGTGATCACTCCCCTGCTAAACCCATTAATCTACACCCTCAGAAATGCAGAAGTGAAAAATGCTATGAAGAAGCTCTGGTGTCAGAAAGTGACTTCAACTGAGAAATAATTACACCAATGTAAATGACTTTGTTCCTTAAATGGTGAAGAGAAAAACAAGATAAGTTCTAAGCTTCAGTTTCAGGTGAAGACCATTTGTCAAAATAGTTTATAGTAGTATATTGGCAAATAGGTTCTAATTTAGGATAATATTGCATTTACGTATTCACATTTAAAAGTTACCCAGAAACTTCTGAAATAGGGTATCTACACACACACACTTTGAACAATAGTGCTATAACTCATGTTTACATCCTTAGACATTAATGAGGCCATGTTTTAAGGAATTTCTTGGGAAAGTAGAATCTATGAGAGTCTGAAATCATCATAAATCATGAAGTAAACACCTACTACTTTGGCAATTGAAAAACAAAATAATTTCTGTACTTCCAAGTCTTGTGCCACATCAAGTCTTTTCTGACTCCAAAGCAACATATCTACCTTTTTATTTAGCTGCATTGTTTGCATGAAAATTTAGTTATTGGTGTCTTAACTTGCAATTCACATCTTGAGGTCTTTTGCTCTGATTTTATGTATCCTTACATTATGTATCATTTTTGTATCCATATTTGGAGGAGTGCATGATAGTATTTACAGTGTCATAATGGTTAAGAATATAATGTCAGAGTAAGGCCATCTTGGGCTTAAATGTTAGTTTTGCCACGTATATAGCATGAACTTCAACAAAACATTAACTCTCTTTAGGTTTTCAGTTAAAAGGGAATGAGAGGGATTATTGGGATAAAAGAAAACTAACTATGTCTTATTAGATGGTGCATGCTTAATAAATGTTCGATATTATAAATATTCTTTTTTTACTTATTGTTGTTAAGTGCTATCAAATTGGTTTGGGTACATAGTGATCCTATATAAGATTTCCAAGGTTATAAACCTTTGTGGGAGCAGAAAACTTCATCTTTTTCTGAAGAGCAGTTGGTAGGTTCAAACCATGGATATTGTCATTCCCAGTCTAGTGCTTATCCTACAGAGTAACAACTTTCTCCTTTTTATTACTGTTGTTGCTGTTAAGTGACACTGAGCCAGTTCTGACTCATAGCCACCCTCTATGGCAGGGGTGGGGAACATTTTTTCTTCCAAAATTTATATCATAATTTACGAGCCGCACAAAATCATCAACTTAAAAGCTAGCCTGCTATATGTGGTCAAACATTTAATTAATTCACTCTTAAGATATGGTGCTGCAGGATAATGTTCTGAACTGTAAGGTCAGTTTGAGCCTAAAGGTTGGTAGCTGAAACCCACCAGCCACTCCTCAGAAACTCTATACAGGGTCGCTATGAGTCAGAACTGGCTCAACAGCACTTAACATCAACAATGTGATGGCTGGAACTGTAATTGCCTTGGCTGGGTTAGACTGAATGGAAGGCCTGTGGGCCAGACGTTCCCCAACCCTGTTCCAAGGAGCAGCTGGTGGGCTTAAATTGCTGACCTTGCAGTTAGCAATCCAGTACTTATCCTACTGTGCCACACTAGGACTAGGGCACTTCAAATAATACTACAGCTACCCAACTAGTCCTGAGTGTTAGTCTACTTTTTTTTTTGAAGATTTAGAAAATATGATCCACTATTTCTTTGTCCCTCCAAAAAAGAATATTCTGATAGCAAACTAGTCTATTAAGAGTTGTTGAGGGCAACATAAGTATTCAAAATCTTAGGCTGTTACTGAATCTCTGACACTTGGTTTTCTGATATCCCCTGGCCTTGTATCTTTATGGCCTTGATGCTGACCCAGTTTGGGGTTTGATTTTCTCCTGAGAATCTCTGTTTGAAAGACCAAGGAGCCACATTTTCTGTGAACCTGAGGTCAATACATTAGACAATCAGATTATGGGCAGATTTTAAAGGGAGATATTTGTTCAAAGGAGTCCTGATGTGGCACATTAGGATAAGCACTGAACTGCTAGCTGCAGGTTTGGTGGTTCAAACACACCAGCCAGTCCTTAATGTCCTATGCGTTAGAACCAGCATGATGGCACTTTACAACAACAACAACATCACAGAAATCATGAGCCCTGGTATTCAAATGAGGTAGCATGGCACAGTGTTTAAAAACAAACTCTAGAGTAAGATTTTCTTGGATCCATTGTAAGCTGAACAAGTTATTTGATTTTTTTCTGTGCTACATTTTCTTCATCTATAAAATAATACTAATAGTACCTACCTTATAAATTGATCTGACAAATTAAATGTGTCAGTATATTTTAAGTTTTTATAATAGTACCTAACCCACAACCATAGAATTGATTCTAACTCATGGTGACTCTCTACAGCATTTCAGAGGTTAAATTTCGTGGAGCAGAAACCCTCATCTTTCTCCCTTAACCACTGGTGGGTTTACAGCACCCAACTTGTGGTTAGCATCCTGTACTTCTCCTATAGGGTCTTGTTGTTAAGTGTCATTGAGTCAGTTCTGATTGATAGCAACACTGTTTTAAGTTTACAAGGCTGTTAATCTGTGTGGAAGCTTTCTACTGTGGAAAGGTTGGTTGACTCAAATCACTGAACTTGGACTTCATAGACTAGTGCTTATCCTACAGAGATACCATGCTTCCAATATAAGTACCTATTCTTTGTTATTGTTAAGTGACTGGTGGTCGTTGGTGGGTATGTGCTGTGGAGTCGGTTCTGACTCATAGCAACCTTGTTTAGGGTTTCCAAGGCTGTAAATCTTTATGGGAGTAGAAAGCCTCATCTTTCTTCTGTGGAACAGCTCATAGTTTGGAACTGCTGACCTTGAAGTAAGCAGCCCAACTCATAACTACTACGCTAAATCTTAAAAAATAAAATTATAAAAGGAAAATATTGGTGGATGTTAATCAAATTCAGGAGTTCTGGTATAATGATGTAGATAAACACTGGACCACAAGGTTAATTTGAACTGCCACTCCTCAGAAATTCTATACAGAGTCATTGAGTCGGAACTGACTTGATGGCACTTAGCAACAAAAACAAACCAAGTTGGTCTGGATTTGGCCTGGTATGTCTTCTAGGACTGGTAGAAGCATCATTTTGTTTGGTTCAGGAACTCTATGGATCTTACCTAGGTTTCTAGCTTCTTAGGTGAAAAACAATTCTTTTATGAACAACACCTTCTCCCTCCTTCTTTCTTTTCAAACTTGAACTTCAGGTTCAATTATATTGGCAGCTAGGGTATTTATTCAGCTCATAGATTTTCTGTAATCATCAAAATTTCAGATGATGATGGAAGATTTGAAGCTTTCAAGTCAACAGAGCTAGAATTTATTTTCATTTTACTAGTTGCTGTAGAGTCCTGGTATGGCACTGTGGGATAATGTACTAGACCCCAAGGTCCATTTGAAATGAAAGGTCAGTGGTTCAAACTCACCAGCTGCTCCTTGGAAACCCTGTACAAGGTAGTTATTAATTGGAACTGACTCAATATCATGTAACAATAACAAAAAATAAGTTGCTATGTTTTATAGTTGACTCAATGGTTCCTAATAACAACAAAGTTAATGTATCAATGACTGTATTTCAAAATTGCTAAGTGACTTAACTTGATCTTAGATCATAAGTACAATGAAATGATAGCACGTATTTTATAAGGCTATTTGAAGCAGTAGATGGGATAGCGTGTGGAAAACATTCAGGAAGTGCCTGGAACTCAAAGAAACAAATGGTGTGGGTGTCCATAAAGATGAGTTCCAAAAAAGGTTAAATTCACACCTTTAATCTCAGTATCTATTATTTCCCTCACTTCTTCATAAATATCTCATTTATGTGTAACTTTTTAAAAATAAGTTTTTATTGTGAACTGAGTGATACTTTATATGGGAGAACATCAGTTTTACACTTGTCATTTCATTACAGTGTTTATAATCTTCATGCATCGTCATTCAACAATATTTGCTTCTATTTCTGTTTTTAATTTTTTGTTTTTTTTTTTTCTGATACACACCAAAACACTTAGGAATATATATTCATTTAAACAACCAAAGAGCACATTCTGCAAGCCTGTCTCCTGACTGCCAGCACACAGCCTTTCTTTTCCATGAATCTAGAGTCTCCAGCTGCTCTATCTCTCCACGTTCTCAGCTCTGCATCCATTTCTGGTGTCTCTTTCTCTTTGGATAGGGTCTCACATTCTTCTAATGCTCTTCTTCCTTGGTGGTCCAAGGGTCCTCTGTTCCTAGACTGTTAGGTTAACTACTCCCCCCATTTTGTTACAGAATTTCTACTTTTACATTGTGACAGTCACTATTAGTCATGATAACAATTGTTCACTATTGAATCATAAGAATCTTATCCCCATCTGCTTTTACCAGACCTGTCTAGACAA